TTCATGTGGGCACATCTTGGACTGATGTTGTTCGGCTATTAAAACATCTCATTTTCATGTTATGTAATACCAGTCGCAGAGGTTTCAAATCATTTCTCCCGGTTGACCAGAGTGCAGGCTTTAAAAATGCTTTTTGTGAGTCCTGCTCTAGGAACAATCTCTCCTGGTGCCAGTTTGAACTGGGTTAGACCTAAAAAAAAGTGGCATGCTTCTAAAATCAGCAAGCTCTGTTTTAGTTTAAAGGCCGTAAGGTGTTTTTTTTCTTTTTCGAGTTTCTCTAGACTGGTGGCTTGACAGACTCTTTCTTGCTTTTGTCAGCTTTTGAAAGACTCATAGCGTATGTATTTTCATTTGCACCTGCTTTCTTCCTTCCAAACTGTATGGGAAGTTTTCACCACGAGCATTCATTTCAAAGGACTGTTTTGAGAATAGCGGCGGTCCTCCAGTGGCATTCGCGTATTTACTTATAGTTGGCGGCCAGCCAAAGCAGATTTGCATGTGAATGATGGTGTTTTGTGTTACGATCCAAAGAAAAGATGGGAGTTGAAGGGTGAAATGCCTCCCAGAATGGAAGAATTTTGTGCAGGGGGGGGTCGAGATAGAGCAGATACGAAGAACAAGCGCATACAGCCTCAGAGAATGAACAGAGACCTTCAAAACACACACCAATGCACACACACGGTGCGTCATGCCAAAAGGCACCAACGTGAGCGAGGGAGAGATGAAGAAAAGACGGCGCGAGGAAGAGAAAGGAGAGCATGCGTGGGTAGTGGAGGTTTTAGATGTGATAAGGCCTCCATGGTAACGGAATGTCTATCATGGTTTATGTAACGCCACCCTGGTCCTCTCCATTACGCTCTCCTGAAATCCCAATCTCTGATCTACAGCTGATTACAGTCTATACATTGACCACATCCGTGCAGCTTGGATTCTCAACCCTTTTTTACCGACAGCGGTTTATTGAGCGTGAACCTCCGTGACCCCTAACCTTGAGGTGTCCCCATGCCTAAAAACATTTATATATAGACACAGAGGAAAATGAAATTGCTCAAATGTTGCTCTTTCAACCTAGATGGGTTTTTAGTTATGCTTCATTTAAGTATTAATTATGTCAATTGTTAAAATGCAGCTGGGGGTCCGCAACCCCTGGTAGTCTTCCTAGGGGTCGACCAATTATAATTTTTTTAAACTCTTTTTATGAAGTTTACAAAGTATGTAAATGCATTAATATGATACTCTCTACTGTATTTTTAAAGTAAGAGCGGGTTCGGCCCGCTTGAATGTGCGAGGCTTCATGTGTCCAGTTCTTTTAGCTGAACAAAAACAGTCTGTTATGCGGCTTGATATTGCAAACTAGTATTTATTATTGTTATCAAAAACACACTGATTTGTAGTGCACGTAGTTTTATCGTTTACTGCACTTTGTTATTTTTCAAGTTATTAACCTATATAGTGGCTAATGAACCGGAAGTCTCGCACATTCACAGAAAATAGCTTATAAATGTTATTTATATGCATTTTATTTATATTATTTATATTTATTTATTCTTCGATACAAAAGCATTAGAAACATAAAGCATTGATGTTTTTATTTGTTGTTATTGTTGTTGTGTTATATGTTGGGTGTATTTTAAAAATTGGACCCTGAGTCTGTATAGTTTTGATAGATTGATTGATTGATTGATTAATTGATTGAAATTGGCCATAAAAAGGTGGAAGTGACTTTTCACTGACTTTTGATTGCAAACTTGGTATCTTGGAAATTCTGAGCACAGTTTAAGATATGGTTGAGAATGAGAACTCTTCTGAAACTCTAGAGAGACATGATATGACATATGAAATGATCCCAGTTTAGTCTCATCAAGGTTGTTTTTGCTGAAAGTGAAATTCTTTGAGACGGCCTTCAGTTGCACACACCCCGTTACCTCCCTTCGTCTAAAGACAGCAGGATTATGGTGTTTTCTTTTGGCAGAAGCTTCTCTTGACCTTAAGATGAAAAGAAAGGGAGTGATTTTCACTTGTCTGAACGATGGGTGTTCTGTACGTGTGATGGGTGTCCGTCTGAACTCCCTGCTGCATCTGCTCAGTTTGGTTCTCACAGTGCGAGAGCATGTGCTGCTGTGGAGAATACATGTGCCGTTTCTATATTTGACGACAATTATTGTGTGTGTGTGTGTGTGTGTGCATGTGCTTGTGTGGGTATCAGGGTGTGGGTGTTGGATTTTACTCTATTCCCACTCTTGTCATTTAAAGAGATGAGTTTTGTGCCAATCTGGGAAGGAGATTTGCTAAACTTTTAGCTCTATCATAATGTAAACAAGTGAGCCGAAAGAGTAAAATGGATGAAAGAACACTGGAGAACGTGGTGAAAGAAGGGATTAAATGGAGAAAAAGCATGCGAGGCGGAAAGGTGTCATATTTGCGTCTTCTATGCCTCATCTTCATGCTGATTTATTTTTCAAAGCTAATTTACCACTAAATGTGGATATTAAACATTTACACGGTTAAGCTGCTTTGACAATTTCTTATGGAAGCCTGTTTCCACCTAAAACAGGTAATGGACACAGGACATGAAGTTTAATATAAGAAATAAAGTCAAATCCTAAGATATAAAGTTGCAGTTTTAAGGCGTAAAGTCACAATTTAAAGATATAAAGTCACAATTATAAGAAAGAAAGTTGGATTTGTAAGATATAAAGTCACAATTGAAAGATATAAGATATAAAGTCACAATAATAAGAAATAAAGTTGCAGCTGTAAGATATAAAGTCAATCTTACAATATAGTCACAACTGAGATATATAAAGTCGCACTTATGAGAAATAAAGTTGTAAAGTCGTAAAAATTCTGTGGTTTCTGCTTTTGCAAGGTGCAAAAGCATATATATGCAGTTTCCTGTTTTATTCCTTTGATTTACCTTGATGTGGTAAAATGTTATTAGCATAAAACTCTTAAATTTGGCTCAAAGCTGTTAAGTCGGAGCTAAAAGTGTTGAGTAAGGACAGCTGGATCCATTAAATGTGCGTGATGCTCTGATTGTTCACGTGATTCAGGAATTTACTTGGCTCCTCAGAGCCGTTTTGATGCTCTCTGCTAAGCATTATATGCCTGAGGGAGGCAAACAGACCCACACACTGACATAACACATGGCTCAATTACGGCTGCAGTACAAGTTATGGAGAATTATAAACTCCCACCCTAATTTAATCTCAACAGCCATGACACATTCTAATGAAGAGAGATGGTCTTTGCCCTAGAAAGTAATGCTTACATACATCTGACCGGAGGGGGGCCATAAGTGTTCCCGTCAGCCCTCACAATTGCACACGCTCATACGGTGACTAAAATTCAAGTTGCTTTAATATCCTCTGACACAACACCTCATAAATTCCTCATCGACTTGTCCGTGGCGTGTCTTCTGTTCGGTTGCTAACACGTGCCTGAGAGGGTCTTGCAGCTATCAGAGGTGGTAATTAACCCAGTTGACTCCTCCTCCAGTCATTCCGTTCCTGTTTTTCCTCACTAACTCGCCTCACCTGGCTGGCTGCCTTGCCGTCGTTTCTCGCTTTGCATCCCATTTGCTTTTTTTGTGGGTTTTACCTTGATTATTTTTGCATCTGTCTGTATGCGTACATATGTCTGTATTTTGTCTGTGTGTCTCGCTCTCTGTCTCTCATCTATTTTATTTCTCCTTACTCAACATGCAGCCTCTAAAGTCAGCGTTGCCGTGGCAACCGCAATAGATCTGCAGCTCCAAAGATGTGGAAGGAAACTAACTTGCATTCCCACCTTTTAACTTGCACACACACACACACACACACACATATATATATATATATAGAGAGAGAGAGAGAGCAAGGTGTGCATGTGACCTTATCTTCCCCAAGCTTCCATTATGCCTCACCTGTGACTCTCAAAAGAGGTGCGACCTCACAGAAACATGCACAGAGGTGTGAAGTATGCAGGTCTGAGCATGTTTCTAATATGCACATTAGAACGCATTGAGTGCACCGTAATGACAGGAGGACGTGTGCGTCATTTTTCGATAATCACAGTCAGGAACTGAAACAAGCACGTCTGCTCCAATCAGTGATCAGTTGTTGCCTGCAAATCAGTAGGTAAAGCAGAGGATGATTGTGGGAATCTTTTCTGTTCAGAAGATTCATTCAACTAAGGAAATTCAACTGACAGTTCGTCTTAATTAAACTCATCGTCTCACTGAACCAGTGATACAAGTTGATTCTGTGTCTAAGCTACTGCTCTGAAAAGGAATGTGTTAATTGCTTTACATGGCACGCGAACACTTTAGCATTTTGAACTGAACTGACATATTAATTTTGTGCTACTGACTCTTTTCTCGTTCCTCTAGGCGATCACGTTTTAAATAGTTAGGTATCAATGATTTATGTGCTCCACATTGATATAACCCAGATACATAATCAGCATCATGTCCTCAAATCAGCCAAAATACAGTCCCCGAAAACCTCACTGTCAAGATGTGCCCCAGATCGAAAGATATGATACACATTTCTATTCTTTTTTTGAGCATTTCAGTTTTTCAAAGTCTCGTTCATTCGTCATGCTGCCCTTTTCACTGTTGACTTTTTTTTTACGCTCTTTACTTTCGTCTGCTACTGTTCAGGCTCATATTGTTGAGGCAGACATGCTTGTACAGTACATCACTGCAGTCTTTGGGAGTGTCTGTGATCCAAAGTGGGCCAGAAAGCACCGTGATTTATTCTACCCACAAACCCACTGCATGTCCTTGAGATGAGCTAGCAGAGGTGAAGGCTTGTGCCGTCAGTTTCAACTTCATCATACATACTCACTGAACGAGTGTTCACAACCTGCCGAACAGCTATGACGAAGTCTGCACTAAAGATATCATTTTCTCAGCTTCCTTCTCTTTCAATCTCCGCAACCGTTTGCTCAGACAAACATGAAACATTTTGTTCAGTTGTGAAGTCACTAATGAGGTTGTGTTCTTTCTGTCTTTGCAGAAATACTCCTGGATGACTTCATGCTGACACACCCAATCTTCCTGGCCTCAGACAAGTTCCAGCAGGTCTTGCTTCAGCAGTATCCTTTCTTCTCGCCAGAACCATAAGTGTCAACCTCTTCAAATCTGAAACTCTTCAACGGGCGACCGTAACCCTATCATAAGGTGATTTATATATTAAACTAGAACATGGACCTGGATCATCATCTTTGGATCAATGCTTCTATTAGCCAGTTAGTTTTATGGGGGGCGGGCTAGGATAATGGTCTCATCAATCATTTTGGTTAGCATTAGCATTAGGAAAAAGGGTTAGCCTATCATTTATGTTGGGAATCTTGCTTCAGGATCAACGCAATGTTGTCCTCTCTTGCGGAAAAATTATTATATTATTTAATAAAAGTTATTACATTGAACTTTTATTAAATCATTTAATGTTTAACTTGAATTTAATTCATTTTGATTGTATACTTTGTTCTTTGTATTTGATTAATTATTAAAAAACAGAAGCCTTAAAGTATGGAGAGACATAAAAAGTAAGATCAAAGGAGTCAAAATAATTTTTCAATCCTTTGGCATTTGTTCGCAAAAAGTTTTGCGTTCCCCTGAGAAACTTTGCATTCACTCGCAAAACTTTCAATATGGGAGGAATAACTAAATTTCAGTGCTTTTGCGAGCGAATGCAAAGTTTCTTCGTGAATGCGATACTTTTGCTAGAGGACGCAAGTTTTTGTGATTAAACACAGAAGCATTGATTTATAATTTCTCCTCCTATTTCATTTTTTTTCCATCATTATGTCCCCTTAGTGGCTCTGTACTATAGTGTGATATCATATCCTGAAGAAATTTCACATACTCAAAGTCTAGCATGACCATGCTTTATGGTTTTCCAGTCCAAAGGTTACCATCTCGACCCAGAACTAGTTAAATCACGTCTAAGTTACTTATTGTATTTCTGGTGAAATTTCGTGGTGCAACAATAAACGTTAAAACTTTATTATTATTACGTTTTGTTTGTTTATGTTTGTTTACTTTGATTATGTTTGTTACAATCAGTTTGTTTACTTTGTAACACTCCAGAAAAACTGAACACTTGTCAGCCTTCAAAACACTTCCAAAACGAACCGAATTATCTGCTAAAAACAGCCAACAAACATAGCCGAGAATCCCAGCGTCTGTCTACCGCAGGGGGCTAAGAGCAATCGCACATGCTGCTTAGGATTTGGGTCAAATGATTTACCAATTAGCCGCAATGCTAACCTACCTCTATCAGTCTCTGCAGTATCAACCCCCCCACCCCCTGTCCCCCGTCCATCCATCGAGGTTGCCGAAATTCAGATAAGAAGAGTGCAATGTGGGGAATGTGTTTGTTTTGTTAGCTTTAGGCAGAGTGTGTATAAGTGTGTGTGTGTGTGTGTGTGTGTGTGCAGAGGACACCCCTCTCTCTCTTTCTCTCTCCATAAGTCCCCTTATTTGGTGACCTACATTCCTTCTGTGAGTGCCATAGCCCCCCCTATCCAGACCATAATGGCGTCTGAGGGGCTTGTCTGCAGACTTTGAGCACAAAGGTATTCCAGGGGAGGCCCGTCTGCATGCCTCAGCGCTCCTAATGCAGCGTGTCTGCTGCGGATCTTCTGCGGGAATCAGTGACCCTCGCTAATCTTCCGTCACCACTTCGCCTTACGATCCACTCCTCTCTTTCTCTTTACTCTCCCTCCTCCTGAGACATTTATCTTTCTAGTTTCCACACCTTTTTTTTCCTGGTCTTTGACTTGACCTAATCCAGGCCTAATCAGATCTTTTTGTTGTGGCAACATGTCTGCTTCCTGCTTAGAAAAGACCCGTCTCCTACACTTCCCACTAGTCAGGGCTCATTTAAGGGGTTTAATAAAAAGATTTGAAAGCAGGATGATTCCTTTTCATTCAGGACTGATAGTGCTTTCAGGCCTTCACACGTTGACACACACTCCCGGCGGACTCGGCCTGGCTGGGCTCCAAACCGCGATTCAGGACTCGTGCAAGGGAACAGAGTTCATCTTTTGCAGCTGCCCAGCGGCTCAGACGGCTGCTGTTTTTTGGGCACCCAAGCAGAGGTGACGGCTCTGGATATAGATTTACTAGATCTGGGATGCCATTTGGAGAAGCTCCTCTTGGGCCTTTTTATGTACGGGAATAGTTGTGTCAATTTTAGACGGGGTGTCGGGGACTCTTTAATTATAGGCAGAGAGGCTCAAGGATACTCCAGTTTAAATTTAGTCCGCCTTTCAGGTTTCCTGCGCATATGAGGATTGGGGATAGGGAGTCTTTGCAGATTTTTAGGTCATTTTTACCTGCCGAAAAATTATGTCTTTGCTTAAATGCTTATGTGTTAGTTCACCAACTTGACTTATGTAAGTGTGTGAGTAACGAAAAAATTCATTCCGTGTGTGCTTATGTTGTAGCGTGTGTGTGTATGTGAGTGTGTGTGGGTGTGATGGGTGTGTTCCATCGCCCTCAATACTTTTCAAAGGTTGTAATTATTCTGGCTGTCTGGCCACAGAGGCATAGATTTTGTTTTTCCAGTGCGGCATCTGTGCCAGGTGATCGGATAGCGGCTGTCTGAGTATGTGTTTATCCGCATGCACTCCGCAAACCCACTCAACACAATATCTGTGCTGAAAATCACCAGTTGTAGATTGTGTAGTCTACAACAGGCAAAAGTCTATCTATCTATCTATCTATCTATCTATCTATCTATCTATCTATCTATCTATCTATCTATCTATCTATCTATCTATCTATCTATCTATCTATCTATCTATCTATCTATCTATCTATCTATCTATCTATCTATCTATCTATCTATCTATCTATCTATCTATCTATCTATCTATCTGTGTACATTTGTATTCACTGTATTTAGTGAGCGCAGGTGTGTATGTGTTGGCTCGTGAGTGTGTTGTTTCTTAACTCCTGGCTCAGATTCAGCTCAGAGGGTAAGCAGGGTGAGGGCTGGCCCGGCTGGGAGGGAGCTGAGCGGAAACTTGCAGTTCTGACTGTGGCCTTCCGCTATCTGGACACATACAGAGACTTACTGCAGGAGGAGGGAGATCGCTCCAACACCTTCCCAAAGGTACTGCACACGTGTGTAAAAAACTTCAAAGGAATGCTCAAAAGTGTTTTTTCTAACGCACACAAATCAGTGTCAGACCATAAACTACAACTTTTTGTTTTCACATTGCCATTTCATTATTATTAAAATATTAAAACAATTGAACGTTTTTGGTATATAAAGAGGTTCACTTTTCATAATCATCAGTTGCTTCTTCTTTATTCACTCCTGGTTTTAATAATAATGCAACCTATGGTTTCAGGAGCTGTATTTGCGCGCCGTTCAGGAGCTCAGTCGCTTTCCTGAACTGGTGGAAGACGTCCTGAAACTTCAGCGCTGGACTGAGATATTACACAGCCCGTAAGCATCAAATCCATCCTCACAGTGGAATATTCATTTAAGCTATAAATGTTTTTTTTATGAGCAATAATGGCTGCAGAAATCATAGAGGAACATGAAATCATTTAATACATGAAGAAACAGAGCCTCTTAGTTTACGTACATCATGAGTTGTAAAGTATTAAATGAGGCGTATGTAGTTGCCCATTAAGAGCTTTAGAAGCAGATGAAGAATTAATGTGCAGAGATTAATACTTTAATGTGTTGTGTTCAATTTCGATTGTGTCATTAAAAGCCTCTCAACGGGGCAGCAGTCTTTTCATAAACCCTTAAACAGTTTATTTCTGTATCCCAGTTTATAAAAATAGGCCTATATATTATCTGGTTGACATTAAAGTGGCAATGGCATGTTTGGTCTTTCTGCTTCTTTAAATTATAAAGAAGCCATGTAAACATAATGTAATTTCCACTGTTTTGGCATATTGGAGTTTAAAATTTCTTGCAGTCCAGTCATAACAAATAGTTTAAGAGCCTGCCATTACTGGTCCTCAAATATCTTGCCCATGCATAGAGCATTTTCCATCCCTGATGCCATTACCAAACTAATTTTAGGTTGATATTTGTCTTTTGGAGACAAATAACTTATTTAGTTATTTACACTTGAATAGCTACCTGACTTTTATTTTTCACTCATATCCGACAGAGCCGAGGAAGACAAGGAAAGTCGCAAGAAGCAAGTCCGCCCGCTCTTCCGACACTTCAGACGTATCGACGCCTGCCTGCAGCCCCGAGAGGCTTTCCGTGGCTCAGACGAGAGTACGTTTTAATAGAATGCATAAATATTGCACAGACTGACCACAGTTTATTAACTTTGCGTTTGCTTAGCTGTGCAATAACGCCCATGAGAATACCGTCAGTGAATCATCTTATTCATCCTTTTTTGTAAAAGTGCCAGTCTGCTTCCACTTCATTCAAACCAGGATGACAAAACGGGTCACGGGGTAGTGTCTGCCAAGTTTTATAGATGCAATGAGCTCATCTGATGGAATGGGACTCTTTGTCGGGGCAGTGGCTCAAGCCAAGCTAAGTGATTTCCCAGACCTTAATCAATATGCAATCTGACAGTACAAAACGCTGCTACCCTGAAGCCTCCAGTGACCCAGTTTCTGCTTTTGTCTGAGCTGTGACTGGCGAATGGAGAGGAAGCCAATACTGTACATACTTAATACTATTCAAAGTTTTGGATCTTTCATTTAACTTGTGATAAAATGATTCAGTATAAATGGGTGATGCTGATACTGCTATCTGGAAAGTCTGAAATATATATATATACTGTATATATGTATATATACACAAGACGGTATGGACATTACAAAAGATCTCTATTATCTTTTTTCTATAAATGCTGTTCTTTTGAACTTACTGTTCATCAAAGAATCCTTAAGAAAGACCCATGGTTTCCAGAAAAATATTAAGCAGCACAACTGTTTTCAACATTGATAATAATAAGAAATGTTTCTTGAGCAGGTTTCATACTGGAGTAATGATGCTGAAAATTCTATTATTGTTACTATTATTATAGTATTTATATATGATCTTATCTATATGTAATGAACAAATGTATTGAGCTACCTAAACCTATTTTTGCCCAATAATAACCTGTTGGTTAATAAATAAAATGTTTATTATTATTATTATTATTATTATAAAAGCGTGTGATTCTGTTGTCTGAAATCTCTGGTGACTTTGTGTTGGATAGCAGGATTGACTGTTTGGTCCTTGTTTAGTCTTCTGCAGGGTTTACACACCAGATCATTCGTACGTGACCATTCGGAGCCGTCTTTCATGCCGGGTCGGGGAGATCTTGGCTCTGGTGAAAGAGAAGCTCCAGTATAGCGAGGACCAGCCCACCCAACCTGCCAACCTTATACTGGTGGCTGTCACCTCAGCTGGAGGTAAAGTTTGTACCCATAAACACCATGCAAACATACCAAGACTGAACTAAAACCTCAAACACAGCATCATTTGTGTACAAAATGGCCAAGTTTATAATGATCCAGACCTTGATTCACAGCTTGGGGACACAACATTTTTCAGAATGTCTTCGATCATCTGCTTTAACATCACAATCTAATCTGTGTTTGTTCAGAGAAGGCTGTGTTCCGTCCCAGCGACGAGGCCGTTTTCACCACCCTGGGCGTCAACACCCACCTGTTCGCCTGCGAGGCCTCAGAGCTCGAGAGCTTGGTGAGAACCGTGGGCGAGACATTCATGTTGGGTGGGGGGAGTGGTGTTGCCATGGAGGCCCTCATAAATAGCCACCATTAATGCCCACACTGGAATGCTCACTTATGATTATCATGTGTCAAACACCATGAATTACAATATTCACAATAGTGTCGAGGACTTTATTCAGTGGTTTAGAAATGATTAAAGGCATTCTATTGTCATCAAAATCTCGTTTTATGCAAACACAAACTGAAAGTAGTATCACAGTGTCACAGTGATTTAAAATCTGAAATTGTAGTTATGTCATGAAAACTCTTTGAGTGTTTGGCATGGTAATGGGTATATGACAGTGTTGATATGTTTGGCGGAATAGATCTGCTACACTGCTGCTGCTGCAGAGCAAGTACAGGATTTGCTACTGCCAACACATACACAACACGCTGCTGTGAGCAAGTTAGACATGCTGCTGCTGTACAATATATAGCGTGCATGAATTAGCCGTAGCAGATGGAGGTGGGGTGGACAGGTGGAGGGTTTCTGGAAACGCACTGCACTGCTAAGGCAAATGCTAACCAAGTATTTAAGGGTTGAGCAGCGAGCTGATTGGCTAGTGATACAGCAGGAACCAATCAGCTGCGCCTAATAGAGAATAATGTGATTGCAGGTCAATTGAGTTAAGGATTAGCCTGCACCATCTAGAGTTTCATGACAGAACTTTGTATTTCAGCTTCGCTGTGTGAGAGAAAATGCACTTAGAAACCCAAGGATGTAAGCAAATATTCAAGGCTTGGGGGCACTAAAAGTACAAGTTATTAAAAACCCATATTGACTTGTCCCCCTCAGTGTCTTTTGGTGAGTCTGGTCCTCATCCACATTTCTTTGTTGGTCAGATACCTCTCCCTGAGGAGATCCACTGGTCACCAGGCGACAGCAAACTCCATGACATGAGTGCAGAGGAGGTGGCCAATCAGCTGGTGGTGTTCGACTGGGAACTCTTCAGCTGTGTGCACGAGGTCAGGACACTACAGCATTCAGCACTGCTTCACCACACACTGACAGTCCAGCAGACAGCTATTGTATTGCATCGTGCACATAATAATATCAAAATATTTCATGCTTCCAGCTATTTTAATGGACAAATTCATTGGGTCCTGTGCATTAAACTGGTTATTATTGTGCATGGCAGCGGCTTTTATCCAAAGCAACTTACAGTGCAGTACTTACATTCAAGGTAAATTTGATTTGAATGTGGGAATCAGACTCACAACTCTTTTTTCCAGTATAATGCTCATCCAGTTGAGCTACAATGAATTAGTCATTTTTAAATTAGTAACATTTATTTATTTACTTTTTAGGTTTTTGCACAAATAAATGTGATCCTGAGTCTAAGATTTTCAGATTTTAGAGGTTGTAAAATTTCTAAAACAGTGTTGTTATTGTTACCTAAAAATAAAACTATTAAAAATGTTTTTTTTTCGGGAGTTGAAATAAAGCTGAAATGAAATAAAATATAAATATTAGATGAACTTAACCTCGACCGAAAGTTAAACTTAAACAAAAACTCGAAAATTAGAAATGCTGCCTTGACAACTAACTGAACTGAAGTTGAAGTACTAAAATCACTAAAATAGAAATAGATTATTTAAAGCTATATAGCAATATATAAAACAAAAACTAATAAAAATTACAAAAGCACATAAAAAATGACTAAAAAAATTAAAATAAAAAATAAACGAAAATATAAAAATAAAAATAAGAAATTATTAATATTTTTCAAAGATTTTTTTTATTAAAATAAATTAAAATATCAATAAATGCTATAATAATAAATAAATAATTCTGAAATAACAGTGTTCTAAAATCTTTATTTGTCAGTATGCATATTTTTAATTGGTATATCCTTAACATTCCTACAGGCTGGGTTACTACAAAGTCTGATCAAGGCTTGTCTAGAGAGCTACAATACACACTCTGTAGTTTTCCATTGCAATCAAATGTGTGCCTTAGGAAACTGGCTTTAAGTTCAAGGCTAGTCGCATAGCAAAGTTCATGCAAAAACAACAAAACTTTATGCCACGTTATGCAATGTTTTCTCTGTTTCCCAGTGTCTTAGTTCCTGTTCTGGTTTGATTTTTATTGTTGTTGTTTGAACAGGTGGAGTTTGTGTGTTACGTGTTCCACGGGGAACAGGCTCGCTGGCGCCCCCTTAACCTGGAGCTGATCCTGCAGCGATGCAGTGAGGTCCAGCACTGGGTCGCCACAGAGATCCTGCAGTGCCAGTCGCTTCCAAAGAGGATACAGCTACTGCGAAAGTTCATAAAGATTGCAGCCTTGTGAGTGTATATGTGTTTGTGCAGAGTACAAGCTAAATCCGCTTATGAAGGTGACAAAAATGAATTATTCAGAAATCGTAAGAACCGTGAACATGTTAACATGTGACCACCCACATATATCAGCACCTGTTCAGTATTCAGCAATTCGAAGGGGGCGCGAGCAGTGATTGCACATACAAAGAGGTTAGCCAATCGTAGCAGAGTTCATTTGCATATAGTCTTAAAGGTGCAATAGCAAATAAACATCTGCTTAATTCTAAGGGTCAGAAAGATGCTGAAAAAGAGTCATGTAAAATTAATTTAATCTGTTTTTTGGTGAAATAAAACTTGAATAAAGTTCCCTGAAGTGGACTTGCTTTTTATTCAAGTTTATTCACCTCTTATTCACATTCTAATGGTATTTAAGGATTTTTTATTTACTATTATAGTCCCTATTAATATTTTGCATTAAATTAAAAAAGTTTTAGTAATTTTGCTATGTGCTTTGTCATTTTTATTACCATTTTTTTATGGTTTACCACGTCTACATTGCTTTAACTTGTTTTTTATGTCAGTTTTAGTCAGTTTAATAATTTTTAATGCTGATTTTAATACTATTGACTTCTTAGTTTTTAAGTTTTTCATCTAACATTTATTATGTTTTATCCAAGTACCAAATATGATTTTGAATAGCTTTAGATAACAATAACAACACTTCCTCATTCTTTCTCAGGTGTGTGTATGTAATCAGTGCTACTGTGTGTGTGTGTTCTAGATGTAAACAGCAGCAGGATCTGCTGTCGTTCCTGGCGCTGGTTCTGGGACTGGACAACCCTGCAGTCAGCCGCCTACGTCTGACCTGGGAAGTGAGTGCATTTGTTTGTTAATCTCTCGCTTTCTTTTTCACTTGTCTTTCTCTCTCACACTCACACACAGTCTCTTAGCACCTCTGCCTACTCTCGTTCCCAAGAACCACTGAGTGTTATTCTTGGCAGGAGGCTATTAGCAGTTGCCATGGCAACGGAACTGAATTAGCTTCTGCCGTTCTAAAGGAAATATTTCCATGTCCACTGTCCTCGATCATGCTTTTAAAAAAAGCATGTTTTTTTCGTGTGCCTCATATGTGTTTCATCCATCCGATTCCTAATAGAGATCCAATTGCCAATTGAAATGTGTTGGTTACTAATTGCATATGTATGTGTGTTTTGGCAGGGTTTGCCAGGAAAGTTCCGGAAGCAGTTTCAGCAGTTTGAGAGCCTTGCGGTAAGCGAAGAAAAATCACAAATGCAATGTCTTTAATATCTCAATTGTTTCTCCTAGACAGCAATGAGATTAAACGGAGAGCAAACATTGACTTTTGCTTTGGTCTCCTGCTTTCTCTTGGGGGAAAAAGACTCCTCTAGAGTTTCCGAACAGATCTTAATAATGTCTTGAACTGTGCTCAGATTTGCAAAGATCAAAAGTTAGAGGTCTCAGAATGAGTTTCTCATTGATTTCTCAGTAAAACCAGTAATATTGTAAAATATGATTACAATTTAAAATAGCTATTTTCTCTTTTAATCTATTTTAAATTTTCATTTATTCCTGTGATCAAAGCTGAATTTTCTGCATCATCACTCCAGTCTTCAGTGTCACACGAGCCTTCAGAAATCATTCTAATAGGATGATTTGCTGCTCAATAAATATTTCTTATTATTATCAAATTGAAAACAGTTGTGCTGCTTAATGTTTTTGTGGAAACTGTGATACATTTTGTCAGGACTCTTTGATGAATAGAAAATAACTATAAGAACAGCATTTATTTGAAATAGAAATGTTGGTAACACTTTACTACAAGTCCATATACAGTATGTAATGCATTATAAAAGTATTTTTAAACCCTTAACTGTCACCTGCCCGTATACGGGCAACCGAAATTTACTTCACTATATTACTATTAAATCCTAATGTAGTCATGACAAACTATATATCGTTGGAAAGGTCTAAGACTCCTAAATAGATATTTTAGCGCTGTTTTTTTCTTACAAATTATGAATGAACAGTAATATATGAATTTATGACAAGAGTGCGCCTCAAAAAATCGACATCATTACAGGAGTTTCTGACCTTTGTCACAAAAAGTCGACGCACACACTTTTAATAATTGAAACTTTGGTTTTTAGTGCTAAAAGTTCATAATAAAACATAATCTAGCATTTGTCAATAAAAAAAGATAAAATTATATTTTAAAAAGTAAAGTAAGAAGTCCTCTAAAAAGTATACTATATATTATATATATATATATAATTTTTTTTATTATTATTATATCACATATTTTAGTAGTTATCATAAATTAGGTATCATTTGAAAGCTTACGAACTCAGAATTCATCCTGTGAAAACCGTTTTGAAATTGGACGTTGCGTTACCATAGAAACGGTATTTTTTATTAGGCCCCTCCCCTTTTGGGCATCATCTTTCATAATTTATTATCAAAACCTTTCTCTAATCTTGACAAAACACATTGTCAGAAAGGTCTGAGTCTCAAGGTTCCATATTTAGTGACAGAAGTGATATTTGGATAGAAATGTATTAATTTGTTATGGCAGAATGCATACAATTAAATTTAATGGAATTCAATGGCACCCGGTGGCTATCTTTGGTATAACGCATAAACAAAATCTCATGGGAACTTCAATTTTTGTGATATCAACTTTAAATTTGGAACACAACTTGGTTAGATATATAGCTTTCATTTTATAGTAATTTTATAGTAAAAAATATTTTGTAAAATATTTATTTTATATTAAAAAATATATATGAATAAAGTATATTTGATTTACTGTAAATTATAACTTCCATAACTTTTTCATACTTTAATTTTTTGAAGTGCTTTCCCTTTAGTAATAATCTGCAGATTGTTTTCTTTAAAACAAGACCAAACTTAGGTCTATATTCCAAAGCATTCTTGAATTACAACCATTTAAGTTTGTATAGTGCATTTTAATGTAAATTATTAAAAGGGGGGGGTGACAGGTAAAGGGTTAAAGCATTAATTATGCCTTGTTAATTATGCCATTATAATACTTGACTATTCATTGAACACAGCTTTACAAAGTAAAATGCATTAAAACACATGACAAACAACCAATTTCAGCTGTAACAATGAATTTGCACATTTTATAATGCATTTGAACTTTGGTTACAATTATTTATGAAAAGATATAATGCATTAAAACATACACTACTTTTATTATGCATTATATATAAAGGCTAGTGTTACCAAAATATGTGTTGCAATGTACAAGACTTTACTTTTGATCTAATTTGCATCCTTGTATTCGACTCAGTACTTATAATAAAATAAATACTTGTATGACTTTAAATAAATACTTTATTTCTAAGTCAGCACTTGAATGCAGCATAACTGTTAACTCCATGAAGTCTCTTGAGCTCTGAAAGAGCAACCTCTGAGCAATGCATTATTTCGTCACTCTGAATGCTGGTGTGACATTATTTGACAGCATTTGTAATGATGATGTTGTTTATGTTTGCCACAGGACCCTTCGAGGAACCACAAGTCCTACCGAGACCTTCTAGCAAGCCTGAGAGCCCCACTCATCCCCTTCACTCCACTGCTGCTAAAGGGTGAGTCCGCCACATGTACAGTAGCGCCAGTGTGCTCTCGTCTCTTCCTTCAGCTGTTGTCCATATGTGTTCCTATAAAGTGGCCTCCTGCCGCGGCTGCCTCTGTGATTTGAAAGGCCCCGCCTCATTAATTAACGGCCCTCTGTTGTGCAGATCTTTACATGCAGGATTGCAGACCCCCTGCAGCCAAACATACAGCAGGGATCAGCATGCATGCAAACACATTAGTGATACGCCTACACACAAACATGTGTATTTATGACGGGACTTCTGTTGTTTTGATCATATTGAGTTAATGATATTTTCTCTAACCCTAAACGTCACCCTTACAGAAACTTTGTTGCATTTTTAGATTGCCATTAAGACATTATTTAGCTCCTTTATGGGTTTCCTTGTGGACCCACAATATAGGATTTGTGTCATTTTACTACCATGCTAAATGCAAAACCTGACCCACACTTTGTTGAATCGCTGATTCATTAAAAAGTTTCATCATATGCACAAATTGTTGCCTGAAAAGCACACATATAATTACACAAAGGTCTTGTGATGGAGGCTCGAGGCTCATTTTCACAAACAGTAACGGCTAAAACAGGAAATGATTCGACACATTTTTGCATCTTATACTACAATGTTTCTCTTACATTCTTACATTCTTTTAAAAAAGTCCTCACCCAGGCTGCATTCATTTGATTTTTATATACACTACCATTCAAAAGTTTGGGGTCAGTGAGAATTTTATTTTAATTTTTTGGAGGAAAGAAATCAATACTTTTATTTATCAAGGAATAATTAATTTGATCGAAAGTGACAGTAAAGACATTTATAATGTTACAAAAGTCTTTTGAACTTCCTATTCATCAAAGAATCCTAAAAAAAAAAAAAAAACTGTACAACTGACAGACCAACAACTGTTTCAACATTGATAATAATAATAAATGTTTCTTGAGCATCAAATCCTCATATTATACTGATTTGTGAAGGATCATTTGACACTGAAGACACTGACACTGGTGATGCTGAAAATTCAGCTTTGATCACAGGAATAAATTACACTTTACTATATATTCACACAGAAAACAGCTGATTTACACTGGAAAAATTTTTAATACTATAACTGATTTTTGTTGTATTTTTAATCAAATAAGCGCAGCCATGGTTAGTGTTTAAAATCGTACCGACCCCAAACTTTTGAACGGTAGTGTATATAAAATATAAAATGACCTAATTTGCTTTCTTCGCCCTTCAGTACTTTCCTACACCTTATTGTACTTTCGTAAGGTTTCGTACGCACGCACACACACACACACACACACACACACACACACACACTCACACTTCCTGTCCCATCTGTCCTCTCTCATGTCTGTAGTCTCTCTCCATGTCTTTTCACTCTCTGTCTCCTTCCCTGTAGGTGCTCATGACTCAAGCCTGTCAGGATCAATTGAGCATCAAAGTCTTTGCTGAGCGTTGCTCTGCGTTTCAGTCTGACACACACATCTCTATCACGAGACACACAGGCTTCAGAATACAAAACTGTAACAGAATACAGTTAGGAAAAACAGGCTCAAGAACAATGAACAATGAAAACTCTGATTCATTTTTAGCAGACTGATTCATTTGGATCAAAACACTGATATGTTTAATAAAATACTGAAGTGCTCTCATAAGTTCCCTCGCAACATTTTAATATTTAATAGGGATTCATCAAATTGATCAAAAGTGACAGTGAAGGTATTTATAATATTACAAAAGATTCTATTTCAAATAAAACCTTTTTTTTTTTTACTTTCTATTTATCAAATAATTTTTTTTTTTATAACATGTGACGCTGAAGACTGGAGTAATGATGCTGAAAATTCAGCTTTGACATCACAGGAATAAATTACATATTAAAATATATGAATGTAGAAAATGGTTATTACTGTTATTCAAAACTAAAACTATTACAATTGTTTTCGCTAGGTAAACCTGAAATAAAATAAAATATAAGTATTAGATCTCTATGAATTAAGTATTAAAAATCTCAATGAAAATTAAAATGTAGCAACCAAATGAAAAGTTGAAGTACTAAAATTACTAAAACTTTAAAAAAAATTAAAATTAACTAAAGCTATATAAATTAAAAAATATATATATATAAAAAAGACAAAAGCACAAAAGCAACTTACTAAAACACAAATTAAAATGAAAACTGAAAAAAAGCAAATTCTAAATATTAATAAATAGTATATAAATAATATTAAACATTACAATACATTGACTTATTTTTGTCTGTCAAATACAAATTAATTAGCAGATCATTTTGTATATCTCAACTGGGCAAATAAACCAATATTTTTATTATTATTGCCTGATGACCCTATTAGAACTGCTCAGTTTATTATTATTATTCCACAAATTGTATACAACATTAATTATTATAATCATTGTCCCTTTTTTTAATTGAAAGGAAAAAGTCGTTTAACAATGCCAATATAGCTTCTTAAATCTTAAGAAAGAGAGAGGAGCGAAAGAGGAGTAGGAGTTCATCACGCTTCACCTCCTGACCTGCTTCTCTGAGGCGGTTTTAACAAAAAGCCAAACATTAAAAATGCAACACGTGTCACATTTCGCCCTGCCATCACAAACAAACATCCCAAACGACCTCTTCAGCTTTCTTTCCAAGGTCACAATTGTATCTCTTGTGTAGTCTGGAATATCACCCAAATCATTTGAGAAGATTTTTTTAACATATTATCCATCTAAATTTATGATGAAGATAAAACGTGGCTACTGTCCTCAGGCATACAGCATAATGAGCATAACCTAATTCACTGGAGGACATGTTATATTACACAACTCCTGCTGTATTCACAATAAAAGGATTTCAGATCAGACAACATTTCTGAACACAAATATCACACTGTCTGTCAACTACTAACATCATTCTAACATCTTTATCCCAGCAGACACATGACAATTTACAGCTCCTTGCAGACCATCGAGGAAACACAGTGTTCAACACCGTCAGACTACAGATGAAGCCAAGCTATGAGCATCAAACCTTAAAAAAGAATCCACAAGACATTTCTAAATGTTTGGACTTAGACACATTGCATTGGCAACAGTCCATGAGCAATAAACTGGTTGTATACTGTCAATATTGTCAGTAATCCTTGTATTACAAATGCATTAAGAAAAAAAAAACTTACTGAAAACGTGTTACTTTATAATATACTGCATTCTGAATTCATTTCAGAAAGGATTGCAGTCAGAAAGCATGCTAATGGATAATCGAAAGGACAACACCAATCTACGTTTCTTACTGTAGATCGTCCTGCTTTACATTAGTGATGTCTCATTCAAATAACTCTTTTGAACTGATTCGTTTCAATGATTGATTTGAATCGATTCTAAAATCACTCCGTTTGAGAGTACATAATCTACCGTTTGGTACGATTCTTGAAATGTTTCTGACAGAAGTCTCTTATGCTTAACAATATAGCCATATAGTAGGGCTGCACAGTTGTGAAACGCGCAGACAGAACAGCTGAACAGCAGGGCTCAAACAGTCGTGTGAAAGCCTGCAGATAACAACTTCTATTGGCCGATACGTTGGCGCACGACCTCTCTCTCTCTTTACTCAATCATCTGTATTCAATACTCATCCTGACAGCATGTAGTGTCTCTAACATTCTCCTTTTCTCTCATGTTCGCTGTCTCTCTCTCTCTTTTTTCACCAGACCTGGCCCGGGTACTGACAGATCACCCATCATGACATGATGACTGTTCACTTCTCCTTCTCCTTCCCGCTCGCATTCTCTCTCTCTCTCTCTTTTCTTGCGTGTGAGCGTCAAGCTTCAGTTCAGCTCAGCCAGAAAGAAGACGCCTGGCTGAAGGAGTGATGGCATGATGGCATGTCATTACATAACAGTTCCCTTTATTATGCATTCACTCTCTCTCTCTCTCTCTCTCTCTCTCTCTCTCTCTCTGCAGATCTGACCTTCCTTCATGAGAGCTGTAAGTCTTTCCATGGGGAGCTGGTTAATTTTGAAAAGATGGTGAGTTGGCACATATAATGGAAGTAATGATGTGCTTACATTAATGCACGCACATATTTGCCTAGCTACCTAAACGAGGGCATACCACAGAATTCTGTTCTGATTAAAAAAAGCTGTAATTATTTTAATTATATTTTCTACAGACTCTACGCTAAAAGGAACTTTTTAAAAATCTTAATATTTTACAATAAAAAATAGACATTTACATTATTTAAGAGTCGGGTTATGAATTGAGAACTAAACTGGTTCAATTTAAAAAAAAAAAATTAAGCAACTGATTTCCATGGTTTAATGTCTGTCAGAGATGTTTCTCTCTTCTGTATGTGTGCGGTGCAAGAAAATCACATGGGGAAGAGCTATGAGCTTTGACTCATTCGTGTTGCCAGAAAAGAAGAAAAAGAAGACCAAAATATCATGACCCACATCTCCCCACTTTAATATCCTCATAAACTTTATGATCGCTTTATGATTCGAACCCAAACCCGCTTAGAATAAGTGGTCATGGCAACACTTTGAGAGCGTGCTCTGTGAAGCGCCCTTACAAACAGAAACAAAACATGACGCTTTTGTAAACCAACACAGGCTCATTGGAAAAACGTAGGCTTACCCGTGGCAACATTTTTGCAAAATGCAAAATACGTACCAATATGTACATATCACTGCAGTTTCCAACAGAAACGAACACTAGAGGAAGTAAAACAGCAAGCACTTTTAACAGTTTTCACACACAGTTATGATTACAGGGGCAGATTATGGATGAATGACTTGTTTTCACGTGACTCCTTGCACAATATTATGTTATGACCTCAAAAGACTTTTTACCATAGTGCATGATTTTAAACAAATATACTTTATTTTGGAGTTTGCATCACTTAACCAACTCCATATGTTTGGTTTTACTGACATAAGCTTGCTCGGCAGCTCAGCTGGTACTTGTGGAGAGTTCAAGTACGAATCCCGTGAAAGACGAGTCACGATAAAAGACGAGTTCGAAGAACAAGCTAAAATGCAATGGTTCAGATTGCGTTTTTATGTCACATTTGCTTTTGTTAACACTATCGGGTAGGTTAAGGGTTTAGTGTTAGTGTACGGTATTTTAAAAAAGTGATGGGGCATTAAGCTTTTAGCGCCACTTACCGTACATTTCAATTCAGAACTGCGGTGATACGTATAAACTCCAACGTTGCCATATTTACGTCCATCTGTCCCGGAAAAAAACTCATTGGACATTTCACTTTGCGAAATGTGCACGATGCAATGTATTTTGCGTTTTGGAAAAACTGTTGCCACAGATATGTTTTTCAAATGAGCCTGGGCTGCTGTGAACGGTGGTTTAGTTAAAATTGCAGAACAGAATGAGTATTTGGTCGTGTATTATTACTTTTGTCAAAATAGTGGATATCAATCACACGAGACTATGGTTACCATGCTGTCAAATTGTTTTCCAAACATTGTGTATCCCCCATCCCCCCCCACACACACACACACACAAAATTACAAAAACAATCGTTAAAAATGAATCTAATGACCTATATGAAGCCCTGATCAAGATATCCTGTACAGCTAATTAGTAGTCCCAAGTACATTATTTTGTCATTGTATATCATTAATGAATGAGTGTCAATCAAATCTCTGTCTCGTTTTCTCTACCAAGCACAAAGTGGCTGAGATGGTACGAAGCATCAGGCGGTACCGGAGCACTCAGCTAGGTATGTGTATTTCTGCACACACACACACACACACACACACACACATACACACACGCATGCACACACACAAACACGCACACGCACACACACACACACACACCTGTCTGAGTGGATTAGTTCTAGGAGACTGCTGCTCCACCCTGCCACAGCCCATCTGTCTAGGACAGCACAACCCTCGGGGCCACGAGCCACAGGGCACCACTTCAAACACACACACACACACAAGCACAAAGGCACATGCCCATGCCCACAGCGTGTGTATACACAAACACATGCAACAGCTGGACAGCACTTTAAACTGTTTATGCTCACAGACAGTACGATTTGCTGTTGTACATGTGTTTGCATGTGCATTATGAGTAATAACATTCATTAATGCAGTGTTATTTATAATCATTGAGATACTATTATAGTTTTTTTTAAATGGTTTGAATTAGTTTTTATTTTTTTATTGTTCATTTTACATTTAGTGTTTTAAAAATGTTGTTGTGTGCTTTTTGTCATTTTTATCCACGTGAACTGGAATCATTTTGAAAACGTTGTCATCTGTACACGAAAAACGCAAAGGAAAGCCTTTTTAAAACCGTTTTTAGCACATCGTTGTCGTGCAAACGTTGTATTTGTGTTGATAATGTCATTGGGTATCATGCACTAGGTACCTTTTTGTGCTGACCTTAAGTCTGCTTTTTGAGCTCTTTTACTCATGGGGTTTTCTTGAAGCTCAGATTAGTTGAATGTCAGTTTCTATTTTACAATTATTTTTAGGAGATTCACTGCCTTGGAATCTCGACTCCCTGGATTCAAATCTTAACAATCACACAAACAAAACATGGTTTCCATGGTAAGCATGACGTTGCGTGAGGTTGAGAAGTCGTGAATCCGTACGCACCCACACAGCTTTTGATTGGTGTCATGCTGCATCATAAAGAGCGTCTGCACCATCACGCCCTGCAAAAGATTTCTCTTCCCCTTCCTCTCTATGCGACTGTTTGTTTTGAGGTTGTCATGCATAATTGTATCATTATCACGTTCATTTCAAACCACCATTTCTATGATCAACCAGTGGTTAACATACAAACAAACAGATGTGGTTGGTAAGGGCTTCAAAGACGATTTATTGTTTAAAAAGAGATTTGGATGGGACTTTTGGATCGAGACTTCTCTATAAAATGTTTTTATTTTCATAAAAATAATAGTGATTGAATTTTTATAATAGTAGTGAATAGTTCTCAAAATAATCATGACAACCATCCACCCATAATCATCCATTTGTATTTTTATTTATATTTGGTCTTTTTAAGATATGAAAGGAAATCATGGCAAGAACGGGCCAGATGCGCAAGACACGACTTGTCTGACTTTCATCTGATTTAACTTTATTTTTCTGTCAATTGCATACTAGCTTGTAGTATATCAAAACTTCTACATTTTATCTGCAGTTCTTGTAAATGCCAGAGATATTATGAGGAGAAAGTGATTTATATTTAAATATTATATTTCTCTAGAATACACATTAGCCTTACCAGCCTAAAAATATAGATTTGAGCTGAAGAAAGGGGGAAAAAAACGATGATACGTTGTGACTTATGTTATCGAAATAATCTAGACTTCTAGACTAGATTTCGGTTTCCATTCAAGTATCACTTGTATACTACTTGTATACACTAGTGTTCAAAAGTTTGGGGTCAGAAATATATTTTTGTTAAAAATAAATGAATGGTTTAATTCAGCAGGGATGCATTAAATTGATCAAATGTGACAGGAAAAACTTTACATTGTTACAAAAAATAAATTAATCCAAATGCTGTTATTTTTGTCCAAAATCTATTTGAAATACATTTATTTTATGCTAAGTATACTACAAATACATTTACATACTTATGTACTTAATATAAATACCCTGCAATTGTACTGTTGGTATACTAAATTTATACTATTACTAATTTTCTACTTCATGCACTCTAGTTATCCAGAAATAGTGCTGAGAGGTCCAACTAAAGATATACTTCAAGATATATATACTTAAAGATATAGTGGAACTATTATAAGTATACTTTAAATATCTTGCATTTAATGACTGATATTATACAGAGATCATACTATCCTTACTAATAATGATATTAAATCTTTAAAACTTCAGGGCTTCATATATTTAAACACATTTTAGGCTGAATCTTAAGAAATGTGCATTGTGCAATAAAAAAGTACTCCAAATAATCTTTAATTATAATATTTATATCAGTAAGTCTCAAGCGTTTTGTAGTGTGAAATACATTTATTTTAAATACATTTTGGTATAGTTTTTTTTCCCCACTAGTGTTCATCAAAGAATCTTGAAAATAAGTATGACGGGTTCTTCAATAATATTAAGCAGGACAACTGTTTTCAACATTGATTATAATCAGAAATGTTTCTTGACCATCAAATCTGACTGGAAATCAAAGAGTGGAGTAATGATGCTGAAAATTCAGCTTTACCATCACAGGAACAAATGAGCTTAAAATATTTTCAAATAGAAAACAGTTGTTTTAAATTGTAATAATAATTCACAACATTACTGTTTTACTGTATTTTTTTTAATCATATAAATGCAGTCCTGGTGAGCATAAGAGACTTTTTTCCCCACAAATTTAAAAATCTTACCAACCCCAATCTTTTAAATGGAAGTGTATTTATTGCCAATTATAGCCTTGGAGTCGTTTCGACTTACCTTAAAGGGCTTTTGTTAATGTTGCACCATAGTTTAGCAGCGCTATAAGTGAGTCAGCTCGGTTTTTGAAATGAATCACTAAGAAAAATAAGCCCTATTTTCAGCTATTATGTTAGTATTATTCTTTTACCAGGGCTTTGTTCTCTTCTGTAGTTGCTGTACAATGTCTGGAGTTTGTCAGGTTCTGATGTCAGCCTATTGAAGTCGAGCAGCAGGTCTCGTGCGTCACTTATTTCCCTGACTCTTCCTCTGTAATTATCAGGGCTCATTCTCCCTCCATCTACCTGAGTGGATTGCCCTCATCCATTCCCATTAGAGGGATTGATGCCCAGCCAAGCGCACACAGTCTGGTGGTCTTTTTTTTAAAACAATCATTTTTTCTGTCTATGCGCAGCATTTAGATGCACCAAAAACAGCAGCCCATTATCTTTATCGGCGCACATTCATAATAAAAACTGCATTGTGAGATAATATCTCATCAGACGCTGTTAATTTATGCTGGTGTTACGTGACATTCCATCTAGTCGCCCTTGTAACCGGACCCCATTTGCAATGACATTTCTATAGGGTGGCTGAGGCTCATTGGGTGACGTGCCGAGGCCAGAGGGCAGCAATTTCTATGGACAAATTGCAGCCATTGACATTTGTAAGACCATGCACAACTCCATTTCCCTTAGAGCGGGTTTGAACTTTGGGGGAGCTGCTCGGATGCGAGACTTAATGACTCTGTAATTGTCTCTAATGCTCTCCTGCTGTCAACGTGTCAAAGGAAGGAGGCCGCAGCCCAAAGCTGATGATCTCAGATCAGTTTTGTCATCTAGTTTTACTGTTAGGGAAAAAATCACCAAGGAAATTATTTCAGAATCTCAAATGCTGCTCCAAGGCATTAATGATACGCTCATCCAAATGCTCATATTTCAATTTGAAATTCTATTGCCTGCAAAATTGTCCAAGACCACATTATCTGGACTGTGCTATGTACATTTCATTTTTGTTTATATCAAGTTCCTTTATGAAACATCTGAGAAAATCTAAATTGCATCACTGTAAAAAGTGATCAGTTGACTTAACTTAAAAAAATTGAGGAAACCCGCTGCTTTAAAATGATTAAGTAAATAAACTTCATGCTTAATCAAAAAACTTAAGTACTGTGGAACTGTCAAGTTCATTAATAATTTTAAGGCACCAGGTTTACTGCATTTTTAAAAGTTAAGTTAACTAATCACTTTTTACAGTGATAAATTAAACATGATTAAATCTCCTGAGCTATGAAAAGGTTTTTCACGATATTGCAAAATTGATCTTGTTAGTCAATATTTTTGTCTGGTTTTGTAAAAAAATATATTAACATCCTCAACATATTAACGTCGTAGCCTACACTACTGTAAGATTTTTTTTAAAGAGGTCTCATACTGACCAAGGCTGCATTTATTTAATAAAAAATGTACAGTAAAATAGTAATATTTTGAAACATACGCTAATACATATATTATGGTGAGTGGACAATGGCACGGATTACCTTCCGAAAGAGATAGTCATGTAGCTATACTTTTACATGAGAGTAGGGCATTGTAAGCTTATTGGTAAAAAAAAAAGATTATCTGCAGTTTTTTTTTCAGGTTAGCCTTTTGATTTTAATATTGGCGGTCTTGCCTCATTTTGCGCACATATTTTGCATACAGTTTTTATTTTTCATTTAGGCAGAAAACGCCTTCCATAGAATCTGACGCAGAGTTAGAGAGTGACCGTTTTTTTCTTGAGATCAGAGAGGACAAAGTGCAGCTATTCATAGCTACTGAAAGAGCTGCTTTCCTTTCTCTCTCTCTCTCGGTCTGTTCTTGGAATTTTTTCTTTTTAAAAAGTGTCTTAGCAACGGATGCTACGTGTGTAAAGTCAGGTCAGCTGGACATGAGCGTTTGTGAGCTGAGCACGTGCGTGAGGATCTCAGCTCTACCACGCCACCATGTGGTCAGTCACAGTATCACCCCATAATCAATACAGATCCTTTCTTCAGCGGAACACAATGTTTTTGCAAAAGAGCAGGTTGATGCTGTTTTACTAGCTTGTTTACTAACTTCAATTTTTGCATCCCTGTTCTCAAAATATGTCTGAATATTAAAATCCTGATTGTTTGATTGCATTTTTTTAAGCTAGTTTTTAACAGGTTTAATTTATTTTTAAAATAATTGTTCAACATTGACAATAATAAGAACCATTATTATTAACGGATCACCAATAATAGAGCATCAAATCAGCATATTAGAATGATTTCTGAAGGATCATGTGACTGAAGAATAGAGTAATGATGCAGAAAATTCAGCTTTGCATTACAGAAATAAACTACATTTTAGAATATATTCAAATAGTAAAAAGTTATTTTAAACGGTAAAAATATTTCACAATAGTTCTGTTTTTACTGTATTTTTGATCAAATAAATTCAGCCATACTAAACATAACACCAAACATTTTTTTACGACTTCTGTCTGTTTCTTTGGATTTCTTTCTTCCAGTGACTTTAAATTGATTTGTTTTTGACTTTCTTTCTTTCCTCCTCACAGCAATGGAGGTCGAGCCGTCCCCCTCTCACCTCCAGACGAAAGCGTATGTTCGGCAGCTGCAGGTCATCGACAATCAGAACCTGCTTTTTGAGATGTCCAGCAAGCTGGAGCCAAAAGACATGTGAAGGGACCAAGCGTACCTACAAGCCATATCTACAAAACCTCTGGTTCCCTCCAATAAACCCAGACACCCAACCCTTCATTCTCCATTGTCACGGATCAACCCAGCTGGTCTGTCAATCATCTCAGGCTGCGCCTCCGAATCACTGAGCGAGGAAATTTGCTCATGAAAATGGTGTGAATTGTGCTTTTGAGTGATTCTGTGTCAATGTTAATTATGACCACGCATAGGGATCTGGATTCATTTCTGCTTTTATTTTTTTCGCTGTTCACGACTGAAGGGAAACCTGTCCTGATTGCACTGCCATCAGTTGAACTGAACCAAACCGAAATAAGCTTTTCATCCGGGCCTTCAGAGAAACAGACTGCATTTTGACTATTCATTACCCTAAAATACATGAGACAATCTGACCTCTTGAACTCTGACCTCTGGTCTTCCCTCTTCCCCTGCCAACATTGGCACTTTCTGCAACCCTGTGTAACTTGGCTGCAGTCGTTAGATCTTAGTGTTCTGAACAATATGGATCCCCAGCCATCAAATGAGTCCCGAATCCAAGACCAGCTCCAACGTACAGGATGTTTTCATAAATAACCTGAATAATGTAAATGATGAAGTCATAATACAGAAGAAATTGGCTTTAACTGGACATTAAAGTGAATGTACAGGAGCTCGTTTACTGCAAAAATGTATTATATCGATATTTCTGTCTTGTTTTTTTCATTATCAAAAATCATTTTTTTGAAACAAAATTGCATAATAATAATACATTTAATATTTGAACAATTGTAATATATCTAATATATATTTTAAATATTATATATAAAGAACACTACATTATGTTAGATTTATACGTAAAACAAGAAAAAACTATTGTTTGTAAACAAATTTGAATATCGTATGCAATTTTGCCTTTCAAATTAAATTTGAATTAAAATTTGAATGTATATTGTTTTAAGGATGTTTTGATATTAGTTCTGAAAAACAAGCAAAAATACTGATAATTATTTTGTTGTGGTCTTGAAGCCAAATTTTACTTTCACTGCTGTTAATTTATTAACGATTAATAACAGACCAAAAAGAAAAAAGACCAAATGCAGTATTTTATCCTATGTTTGGACAGAACCACTTATAACGCTTAATGTAATATGCCGTTAATATTAGTAGTTCCTGATGGCCCAGCTTCGTTTCAAGTCGAGCCTTACTTGGTCAAGCACTTGTTTTCAGTATGCCTTTGCGTTATGTTGAAAGGGCCAATGGAAATGTTAATTCTCATGACCAGAAAAGTGTTTATTTGCACCCAAGTTTTCTCCTGAACGATCCCAAGCTAATCAGTCAAAATGGGCTCTGTACCGGATGACTTGTCTTGGATTGGACTCTCTCAGGATCTCCTCCTGAGGTCATATAAGGGACGGCCTGTAAGGCTGCACTGTACATATGTCATGTAAATAGCAAAATAAATATGAATATGATTCTATTTTATGTAAGAGCTATGAGATGGACTCTCAAGAAGAATATTTGTTTTGTAAATCTAAGAAAAAAAAGTATGTGTACAGTTTAAAAGGGACGACCCAGACAGAGTCTGTGGTTTGCGATGAAAGAATTGTATATATTCGCTAGTTTTGTTGTTTCGGTTTGATATCATTTCTTATCCATTACAGATGACTTGTACATATCCTCTGTTTTGGTTGCATAGTTTTTTTTGTTGCATTGTCTGTCTGAAATGGATGAATTGTACAGCATGTAGGTGGTTTAGTTGAATTTTGCTGTTTTTATTTGGTAAAAGTTTCTCATTTTGTTTTTATTTGATATTTTTAAAGCGGGTATTCTCTTGTTGTTTTTTGGTTTTGTACAGAAGTCCGTGTTTACAGTGCGATTTCTCTGAAACTCAGACATGTCCAATGAAAGACACGGAAGGCGGGGCAGGAGATACTGCCCCGCCCCCTTTTCTTGACATACGTCAAAGATGCATCTAAAATAAAGCCTCTTGTGATGAGCACTCGAGACGCTGCCTCAGTGTTTATTTGGTGCAATAATGGTGTTGAGTTTTATATTGCTTAAAACCACAAAGCTTTCTGGGGAGAAAATGTTACAAAGTAGCCTACAGATAGGAATTTTAAAATTACGATTCTCAAACCTTGACATTAAAGCTGCAGTCCGTAGCTTTTCCTCTTTGTCGCCATCTCTCTGTTCGAAATCTGTAACTGCAGTGATTCGCGGAATTATCATCTTTACGTGGGTTGTAAATCGGCATGAAACAGCGCGGATGAACACAGTGCTTTGAGGCGAGTGCTGCTGTCAGTCACCGCGCTGTGTGGATACTGTCATACAGAATCACAGATTCACTTTTTGAAAGTTTGACCAACATAAGAATTTTCATAAGAAAATGTCTTCTGAACAAGTAAGTAAAATCCATTTTTGTTCTGACCAACTAAGGGGGAAAAAGCATTCGACATGATAAGCTTCGTTAGATTTAATCAACGCGATTTACAGCAACCGTGCAAATTATAGCCTACTTTGTTCTCAAATTGTTCATGTTAACAACATCAGCATTGCGTGACTAATGTTAAATTTAATGTGTTTTATGGTTACCTGTGTAGTTCAGAATTCATATTCTCCATTATAGCAAAACGAGAAAGGCACAACAAAGGAAACTCCATAACTGTGTGAATTAAGAAAACGTACTGTTACACGATTGAACTATTGAAATGTCTTAACTTACTTGTTCAGCAGAAAAAAGCTGTCTCTTCTTCTGTTTTGAACCCCTTCAAAACACGGAGTTCACGCACTTTTCAAAAGCCCCGCCGATGTTTAAATCCTTGTGTTCGCATGAGACGGTTTCTTTCTCTTTCTCTAGCCACCTTAAATCCGAAGTACGAAGTCTTTTGGGTTTTATAACTGCTGAATCTCCAGTTGACACTGATGATTGTTGTTTGGATCTTTCTGGATGCCATAAGTTTAATTATGTAAAGTGCTGCGAGAAAAGCCTATACATCTAAACATCTCGTCATGCGCAGTATAGCCGGCTAGCCGAAACTCCTCCTTTATGTGTACGGGTGTGACGTAATGACGCAAAGACATGCTCGAATTTCCCGCGGAAACCCACCAGTACCACTGTAATTAAAATCATTATTACAAGCTAACCGTTTTGAATCTAGCTATGGCAAGCAGATAGTTTTGACCACTGGCAGAATATGTTTTTTTTTATATAATTATTTTGGATTATTTTTAACTTAAAAAAGTTACGGACAGCAGCTTTAAATGTTACATCAAACTTTGAGTATTATTAGGCCAGTAGCCTACTCTCGGTTCTTGGATCATTTTGAGTCGGGCAAGACCAATTCAAACTGGTTCGTTCTTTGAAAGAATCGGCTCAAAAGAGAATCGATTTCGGACATCGCTACACGTGTGGGTTTCTTCAATATAACAAGGAACGCCACGTTTTTCCTAGTGTAGTGTAGTGGCATGGATCCATAAAAAGTAGGCCTAATTACTGTGACAATAACCCCAGCTAACAAAAATGTTCTAAGAATGATTTGCTAACATTCTCATTAAGTTATGAAAATGGTCCATTTGACTGTTCTCTAAACTATCTTTAACAAGTAGGCTAGCATTAGACAAACATCCAGCTAAAATGTTGCAGAAAAACGTTTCCACGAACGATGTATGAATATCATTTTTGTGATTCGTTAAAGACCAGATAACTTTGAACGAACATTCTATTAGCGTTACTAGAAGAAGCTCTTCCGAAGAACGTTTGTTCCTTGTAAGAGCGTTATAGTCCATGGGCCAGTCCAGATATTGGTACCATCTGGGTGGGCAAAACCTTACCTGTACTAAATTGTTTATGGGGTTAATATAAGCTATTTTTAATATGATAACCTTTCCACAGTCCCAGCTTTTTATACTTTTTTTTTTAGAATTGCATTTTCCTACTTTTATGAATTAGAATTATTTTTGAAAAATACACAAACGCCCAATACCATAATAACAGTGATCTAATATTAATACCAAGCAAACTAAAATATTTGTAAATATTAACAGGCATAATAAAGTCGATATCTTTGAATTCACACTGATATTTTGTTGTTTTGAGTTGTAAAAAATATAAAAGAAAAGAAAAATAACATGTAGGCTATTGTCGACTCTGTCTACCATTGGAAAGCATTAAAATGTACGTACGATTTGTTCTTAATTTTTGTATAATATATTTCAATAAGTTTTATTTTCAGGTTCATGTGGAATTTATTAGGTAACAGCTTTGTAACACAAGAAAATAAGAAACGTTGAATTTCAGGTAGATATTACCCCTTTTTGGAGCAAGACCTAGACCATTTTTGGAGCACATGACTCGCCTGCTTGTAGCTGCTACAACCCATTGTAGCAGTCAGCATCAAGTGCCATATATAATTTTAAACAGGCGAACTTGAAGTCTCAATCTAGCTAATTTAAATGACCAATTTTACATTTATTTTGTCTTAGAATGGATGAATATACCAGATTTAAGAAAAAACGGCAGCAGATTTTTATTGATTTTTTTTACTCAACTCAAACAAATCCTTCTGAAGTTAGGATTTTTTCCTTTAGAAAGTTGTACTTGGATATTCTAGATTTTCAGATGAAATTTTGACTACATGTAACAATGCCTAAGCAAGTTATAGCCATTTATTATAACATTATTATAGGCGATTTTCAGTGAAAAGCTGGTGTTTTTTATTTTTAGATGTGTCCAAAAAAATTCAGGAGGTAAAATAAATATAAACATTGTCAGAACACTGAAGCAAAAGTGACTTTATATATATATATATATATATATGTAGTTTCAACCAATCTGGGCATGGGGGTGGGACTAAGCATCAACAATCATTCATGTTTGGCTCAGAGGAACAAACCGCATGGGTTTCTTTGACTAATCAATGCTGATCAAAACTTGATGATGTAATCACATTCCACCTGATGTGGCAAATTAACTTGAGGCCAAGAAGATTGGAGAAGAGGTTTACCAAAATTTCAAGACAGAATATCTGGAAACAAGAGTGCTACTTTTCTACGACACGATGATGAAGAAAAAACTGAAAACATTCTCAGAGATCAAGAAGAAGCAATGCAGCCAGGAGCAAGCCAAGCAGGTAGTCTTGAAGGCCGACAGAAACCTCTTTGGTCACATGATCTTGGTGGCACAGAGCCGACAACTACACATGAGTGATGTCTTGGCTCATCCTCTGGGACCTTTGCCTTGGGTCCTAGCTAACAAGGATGGGTCTCTACGACTACGCAAGACTAACAAGGCAGTTTTGGCCAGAGAGTTGGAGAAGAGCGTGTCCCCAGCTGAGGAAATCCCAGAGCCATCAACAACCACCATTGATGGAATGAGCCTGTTACAGAAACTGAAGGGCCAAGACAATTCCTTTGCGCAGTTGGCTGTCTCATCTCTGGACAACGAGCTGCACGAAGGGGGGAAGAGCCAGCGTATAGATGTTGCTTTGATGTGTACAAGGACATCTATTACACGGAACGTGAAAATAGAGACACCAGCCACCATAGTCACATGTTTGCCGGGAGCCAGAGCACCTGACATCAAAGCAAATTTAAAAGTGCTGGCTAATGCTAATCGTAAATTATCTAAGATTATTATTCACGTCAGCACTAATGATGTTCGACTCCGCCAAAATTAATGTTAAAGAGGTGTGTGAACTCGCAAGTACGATGTCAGGCACTGCAATTTGCTCTGGCCCTCTTCCTGTACGCAGGAGTGATGAGATAGTTAGCAGATTGTCATCACTCAATGGGTGGCTGTCTAAATGGTGTCCGCAAAATAATATAGAGTTCATAGACAATTGGAAAAGTTTTTGGGGCAAGCCTGACCTGTTGAAAAGAGATGGTATTCATCCCTCCTGGGCTGGTGCTGCTCTTCTCTCTAGTAATATGGCACATAGTCTTAGACCTCAAACATGACAATCTGGGGCTCAGGTCAGAAAGCAGACAGACTGGCTAAACCGACCGTCTGCTAGCGGCCTCACGTCACCAAGGTCATATAAATACCATCACATAGAGCCTCTTTCACCTAGATATCATCATATAGAGACTGTGTCTGTTCCCCGAATTAGGAAATACAAAAAACCTCCAAAC